CTGCCCTGGGCCTCCTCTGAAGGCTGAGGGTAGGATTTAGTCAGCCTTCCCTGCTCCTGGAGGAGCCTGTGGAGATGCTCCCAGTAGTTAGGATGGTGGCTTTGGTGTTGTCAGCCTCTCTCTGAAGGGATCTGGGTTCTGGCTGTCAACCAGCTTATCCTTCGAGGATCACTGACTAGCTGTGAGAACGGGAATGTCTGCCTGGCCTGGAGGTGGAAGACAGGCTGTGCAGCTCCTCAGCTCTTGCAGTTTTCTCTCCTTTGGCTTTAAAAATATTGCATCTAGCAGGCTGCTTTTGCGGATGGGGTAGGTGGTCCAGGCGTCACCTCCAAGTCACAGGCTTTTCTTCTTAAGGTCACAATCAGGAGTTTTTCATTTGAGTTTGAGTGTAGGCAGCAGCCAAAGACTCTGTCCGTGGAGCTAGCTGCTACAGTGGGGTCTAGGGAGTGCAGGGGTGCTTGAGGAACATGGGGAACCGAGTGTGATCTAAAGGTGGGGTTGGTGTTTGGTTTGGTTTGGTTTTTAATTGGCTGGTATGTATCACGCAGGTAAACTAGATTTGCAACCTCATGTTAAGGGTAAGGAACTGACTTTCCTTTTGCACGAGCAAACTGGAACCCCGATGCTTTCCAAGAAGGCTGAGAACCTGGTCCAGCAAATTAGGAAACAATTCTAAAATCCTCCTTTGTAACCTGCGCTGTTCTTTTTCATTCCAGGGTCTCTTTTAAGTAGGAGTTACCTGTCGGCTTAATGCTTTTGATGCCTCCGGCTCTCTGCTCTCTCCACGTGGGCTCTGCTCACTGTGATTGAAAAGATTCGCTGCCTTCTGCACTCCCTGGTGCCACTGAGAGCGTTTTTGCACCGCGCTGTTAGCTCGGGCTGCTGCCGGCTGATTAAATCTTCCCTCGGCTTTGTTGCCTGGCTCAGCTAATCGTGCACAAAAGTTGGGGCTGCCGCAGCACGTCGGCGCTGCCGTCCCCAGAGCAGGGTCAGCAGCCTGGGCACCGGGACCAGGAGGATTTAAATGGCACGCAGCAGAATCAGCACAGGCTGGGGGGGAACCGCAGCGCTGCGAGAGGCATCTGTGAGAGGCAGCGAATCCCTGCTCCTGCCTTTCCTGCAGCAGGAGCTGGGAGCCTCTGCCTCACAAAGCAGCGCAACAGACTGATGCCAAAATGGTCAGTGGCATTTTGCCTCTTTGAGAAACAGACTCTTTTTGTTCTTGCTGGGTTAGCACTGTCATGTTTCGCCTCCAATTTGGGAAAGGAAAATACAGTCTGGCAAACCCCTTCCTGAAGGGTTGCCAAGCTGGGGTCTAATTCCGCCGAGCAGCTTCCCACTCACCGTGTGTTTTCATTCTCCCTCTGGTTTTCCCCGCAGTATGTCGGTGCTCCGGTGGCCTACATTCAGCAGATCTTTGTGAAAGCAACCGTCTCCCCATGGCAGAAGAACTTCCTTGCCGTTGATGTGTTCCGCTCGCCCCTCTCCCGCGTCTTCCAGCTAGTGGAGGAGATTAGAAACCATGCCCTGAGAGACAGGTAATTGCTGCTCGTTAAAGTTGGTGTGGAAGGCAGACTGACCCGCTGTTGTGCACGCCCACCTGCTAAATCCCTGCCTCCTGAGTCTGATGGTGAGCTTGGAATCCGTACGATTCTCGGACTGAAAAGACAACGAGACATCCCCGTTAACGAGTGACATCATCCCCATCCTGCATGTAGCAGTTCGGCTTTTGTCCTAGAGACCTGGCCTGTCCTCTCCTCGCTGTCAGGAACCTTCCAGTCAGAGTCCTGGGTGGAGAAGTGCGGAAGGGGCCTCCGTGGGTAACCAGCCAGCAGTGTCATATAATCCCTCCGTAAGCACGCGAGGTTCCTGTTCAAGCAAGTTCATTTGACCCCCCCCGTGCCTATTGTGAAGCTCTTCTAGAATTTCACGGGGTCAGGAACCTTCTCCCGACTCTCTGCTCCGGCTGTATTTAGGACCAGCGTATACCTGCTCGGTTCTGTCCTGACGCACTCTTTGTGCAAAACCAGCTTTCCTCTGCTTCCAGGTATTTACAGAGGGAGCTCCTCCTCCCCACCCCAAATCCTTCCTTGTTAAGCTCAACTCACGAAGCTCTTGGCTTAACTCTGGTCAGACTGTATTCAGTTTGTCATCCTGGTTGCTCCTCTTGGCGCTGTCACTAGCGGGTCCTTCCTGACCATGGGAGGTTGGGACTGGACACAGTATTCTCGGAGAAATCTCCTTTGTGCCTTGTTTTCCATGGAAACGCCTTTCCTGAAATACAGTGAGATGGCAGGTCCCTTCCCCGCGGCCCGTCACGTCAGTTTTACACGTGGTGAAGCGACTGATTAACGTCTCCGTGTCCCTCTGTCGCTTCCAGCTGATGAGCTCCCGCCTTAGAGCAGGGAGGTCTTTAGTCCCCGAGTGCAGGGCCTTGCACTTCGTACCATGAATAGAAAGGGGATTAAATTTACTCCATTTCAGATATTCTATTCCTTTTCTGTATTAACAGTGTTTCTTTGTGTCCTTGGCAGATGTCCCTTTATCTTATTCCAAAGTTATTAATAAAAACATATAATAATCCTCTGAACTGTCTTGGAGAAATCCCGCTTTGTTTTCCTCAGTCCTGGTTCCCCTTTCAGCAGCTCTGTGGCCGTTTTCCCGTTAACCTTTTCTGCGTCACAAGGTTTGGGTCTTCCCTGTGGACCAGAGCATTTGCTGTGTGGAGCTGCACTGGGGCCCGGGTAGGTGAGGTCTGCTGTGCTTCCCCCATGCAGGCATTTTAAGGAAAAGACCGCTCAGGTTAGTTTGGCATCTTCTCTCTCTGAAAGCCAGGAATGCGTTTTATACACCTTAACTTGCCTCTGTGGGTTTGTTTTTTCTTTTAAATAAGTTTTCCTTCGAGTTCTGAGTTTTTATCTGAGGTCAAGCTCGTGGCTGGATTTACTTGCTAAGGACAGGAATGCTTCCCTACTTGTCCCCCTGTGTTCAGGGAGAATAATGATGCTGAGAACAGGCCAAGCGTGGTGAAAAATGGTGAGACTGGAGTCTTTGATCATCTCCCAGCTTTTCAGCCAGGAGCTTTCCTCATTCTTTGTCCTCTAACTCACACGGGTAGGGATGATTTACTGCTTGTTCTTACTTCCTTGACAGCATCCTTCATTGCTTCGTTTTTGAGAGGGTCCACTTCACCGCTCCACCTGATGATTTGTCCTCTTTTCTTTTTAAGCCGCTCCTCACAAGCTAGCTGCCTGCTTTCTCTGCCGTGGTTTTTCGGAAATGCCATTTGTGCTGTTAAATGCGGAGCTCTTTCCTACCCGCTCGCAAAGCCTTGGCGCTGACCTTCTTTCTGTGTTTTCAGTTCCTCTCCTCCTCTCTCACACGTGTACCTCCAGGTAGCAACCTCTAGATCCTTGCCAACTAGTTACAAACAACTTGCTCCCAGGACGTGCGTTGTCTTCTCGGTATCTGCCCTTGGTGTTGCCCTTCGTGAACGGTGGTGCAGCAGGGAAGCAACATCAAACTGACCCAGCCACCAGAGGAAAAAGGCTTAAGCACTTAGACCTAAACCTTGGGATCAGAGCTCCCGTTTTGATGTTGGACTCAGGTATTTCAGGAAACGTCTAACTTTGAGGTAAATCCTGAAACGACCTCAGGAGTCATTATGAAGTTCCTTGTTGTAGTTGCTTTTGTCAGCGTCACAGTTCAGTGCGGCTGGTTTTCCTGACGTGAGGAAAGGCGTGGGTTTGTACCAGAGCACAGGAGGAGCTGTACAGGACACCTGCGTGGGGAACACACGCTGGTTGTGTTTTCGTCAGCTGTGAGCTTGCGGGAGCCATGAGCAGTCATCGTTTGTGAGAAGTCGGGAGTGACCTGAAATGTGCGGTTTGCTCCGGTTCGTGTTTTTTCGGTATCGCTCTGCGTCCGCCCCGTACTGGTAGGGCCGCGAGCTGCGCGCTGGCTTCGCTAGTACGGCTGGACAGGGGCTTGGCTGCAGCGTGGCCCGTCCTCGCTGTTGGGTTGCAGTCAGCTGGAGCTGAAACACAGAGCAAGCGCCATCTTACCCTTCCTGGAGCTGTTGTCGGAGGCATCGCCGCATCCCTCCCCTTCAGTTCCCTTTCAGAAAGCTGCTGTTCCTGTAAACACGTCTTTCCGAGCATATTTTCTAGTATTTTCCTTTGATAGCTGTGACTTGGAGGTGTCTTTGCCGTGTGGTGACAGGATACAGGTTCTGGAGGGCGTTTTCACAGAGCCCTACCTCCCGTCATCGTTGGCTGGTTTCCTCGTTGCCTCTTTGTAGTCATTTCAGAAAAGAGCTCCTCTCGAGAAGGCCTTGTGCCCTAGGGGCCTCGCTGCTTTGCCTTCTGCAGCCGCCTTCTCTGCTGTCTGCGGGGCTGGTCCTTTGTATCTTAGCTGAGCCCTGTTAAACGTGCCCTTCCCGGGCAAATCCCACCAGGTGCCCGTGGCGAGCTGAGGGAAGAGCCCTCTTTGGACCAGCGGCTCTTCCTTGTCTCGCCAAACAGCGTGCTGACAGCTTTTGTCACCGAACCGTCGCGGTCAGGTCCGATCGTGAGCCCAGGTTGAGTCTTGCTTTGAATTACGAGTTGATAAGGTTCTGTAATTGTGTTAAAACGAAGTTTGGGAGCAAGCACGGGTTCCGTTTCGTACCAGTTGCACCCCTGTTAGCCTGTAAGGCGTTTTCTTTTCCGTACAGTGCAGAGGAATTCTGAAAACATTCTGCACAGTTGCGGATACTGAATCCTTTGTACATTTTAGAGCACACTGTACACCTTAAATAATCCACCTCAGGAAGGCTGGTAAAGATTTCTGTAAAATATCCCATTGCCTGTGTGGAAAGAAGCATGCAGGGGCGTTGAAGGTCTTCGAAGAATTCCCGTTTCTCTGTAGACTGGAGGTGTCTTAAAGGTGGAACTGGAAACTGTGGCGCCTAGGATGGGCGAGGAGGGAGAGCTGTGTGGGCAGGCAGCGTGCAGAGAAGTGGTAACGGGGTTCTGGGGTCTCTGCGCCTCCTGCAGCCCGTCCGTGGCCCGAGGCTTGCGAAGAGCAAGAGCAGCCACGCGGCGGCGCGGCTCCCTGGCGCGTTCCTCTCGGCGGCCTTGCCGTTGGCGGGCGAGAGGTGCGGCGTCCGCGGTGGCGTCTCACCTTTGCCTGTGTTTTCAGTTCTGGCGTCAGGAGCTTGGAGGAAGTTTGCCTTCAGGTCACGGATCTTCTGCCTGGCCTGAGGAAGCTGCGGAATCTGCTCCCCGAACACGGCTGCCTGTTGCTGTCTCCAGGGAACTTCTGGCAGAACGACCGAGAGCGGTTTAACGCTGACCCCGACATCATCAAAACCATCCACCAGCATGAACCAAAGACGTTACAAACATCAGCTACACTCAAAGGTAAGACGCCGAGGTGCCGGAGAAGCTGTGAGGAACGCCGACAGCTTGCATCAGTGTTTTGTCCTCGGTGTCTCCAACGTCTGGATTGCCGGGTATTACCAAACCCGGTGGCGTTTTGTTACTCAAAGCGTTTGAAATGGAGCCACCAAATATGTGTCACTTTATATCTGTATTTGAACTCAGCGCTGTATTTGCGGAAGGTGAATAATTCCACTCAGTCAGACTCCTTTCTGTCGGTGTAGAAATAGCAGGTAGCTGGTCCAAGTCTCTTACTCTACGTATGCTCGGTCCAAGTCTTTTCGTTCCTCTTACTCTACCTGTGCTCCAGCCTTTTTCCCTCACGCTGTTGTCTGTCTGGCCCAGAGACTGCCCCGTTGCCGCAGGGAGATCAACGTTCCTCCTGCTCCCTCTTGGGCCTTCACTGACAGCTGCTTGCATACAGCCTGACCTGACACTGGGCCTCATAAAACTACTTTTCTCTCTTAATCCAAAAAAAACCCAACCTCTGGCCGTGTCTGGGATCGTACTGTTCAGTGGTTCCCAAAGGCTGGAGGAATTGCTGTTCCTTTGGTTTTAAAGGAGCCCTTTGGATGTCAGGAGGCCCTATAACATGACAGGTCTGAAAAAGGGTTTTTTAACCCTTGTCTTGGTTTGGAAGACAG